TTTTTACTATACCTTTGATTGTTCCTATTTCGGGTGCCAAGTAGTAAGGTGTCCCACAAAATGTGTTTGCAACCACACCCGAGACAGTGTCATCGTACTGATGGCTAAAGCCAAAGTCACCAAGCTTAATTAACCCTGTCGAAGTAAGAAGAATATTTGCACTTTTGATATCCCGGTGGAGCATCTTGTGACTGTGAATGTGGTCCAAAGCAAGGCAAAGTTGCAGGAATAAAAATAATGCCTCATGCTCTCGAAAATGGCGGAAATTATCATGAGACCGCGCCTTTATTTGCCTATCAAGATCCCCAGAATCGGCAAACTCCATAATAATAAGCAGCTGATCGTTTTCCTCGTGATCCTCAATAAAACGAATGATGTTCGGATGATTACAATTTGCCAAACACTTAATTTCACTATAGGCGTACTGCTTGTCCCGAGAAGACATTTTTCCCAAATCCATCAATTTGGCCACAAATATGGAGTGATCTTCCAGACGTTCAACCAACCATGCCTCTCCATACGAGCCCGTTCCTATGAGTTTCTTTTTAATATATTTGCATTCATTCTCAGCAGCGTCCACTCCCAGAAAGGACGTAAAGGTCGCCATGTATGCTACTAAGATTACTGACAAGAATAGGAAAAGAAAAAAAAAAAAAACAAAAACAAAAAAAAAAAGCTCCAATTCCTCTTAAATGAGAGAGGAAGACAAAAAACAACAATAGCATAAAATAAAGCAAGCAAAGGAAACCAAAGGCACTCTCAAACCAACTCCGTCCGGCCACGAAAAAAAAAAAAAAAAAAGAGAAAGCTCCACCATGCTCACCAAAAACAAGAACAAAATCAAACATCCAAGGCGGCGGGAGCACACACGCGGGGCGGAGCAGCTCTGCTTTCCCTCGCCAGGCCCGAGGCCGGCGGACCAATAGGGCCGGTTTTTGCGGGCGCGCTTGCCCAAAGCCTCCTCCTTCTTGGCCAATTTTTCGCAATACTGTGCCACAAGGCGGCCTGCTTTGTTCCACGCTGCGTGCCATTTTTTCCCCGATTGGCCGCAACGGGGCGGCGGGCCGCGACAGGATGGAGGCTGGGTGGGCGGCCGTCTGCGTCTTGCCATGGCTGCTCGACTCTTTTTTCGGGCCCCCTGCCCTGAATCCGTTTCTGGCGACGGGCTCGGCATCCCGCGGGTTGCGGGGCGCCCGAGGGGAAAAACATTGCCAACGGGTCCGGCCGTTTCCTTCGCGCTTCTGAGGCTTATGCGGCTAAAAGCGGGTCATACGAAGGCGAGTGGGGTGTCTATGAAACCGTCTTTCGTATTTTTTTTTTGGCTTCAGTACCACGCTCGCGCTCCACTGGCTTGCGCGCGGTCGCCCCTCCTACTCGCACACCAAACGTGTGTGTTGTGTGGCTGTTTGCGGTGGATATTGCTGCATTTTAGTTGGTGTCTCGCCCGGAACTTGTGGCCCAAAACAGCATTTCCATTGTTTTTGGAGGCGTCAGCGGACCGAACCCCAATAGTGTTTGAGTGGCGGGTTAAGTTTTTGTGTGTCTGTGTGTATGTGTGGCATGCACACCATTGCTGCTGTTGCTCGTGATCATTTCTCCTTCTCGGCGGCTGAGCGGAGGGCGTTGGAGACGCACACATCGCGGGTGATGGACCATGTGCCTTTGACGGTGGATGCGCTTCTTGACCAAGGGTGGGCTCACCGTTAAAAACGAGCTGCATCACGGAGCAGAGGGTGTTGGAAGGTTTTGCAAAGGCGCTTGAGGACATCACGTATGGATTGCCTTGGTATGTTCGTGGGCTGTTCATCATGATGACACTTGTGAATTCACAAAGGCGGACCGCGCAAACTGGAGTTGTCGGCCGCGACGATAACTCGGTGTGAGAAAAGATTACCGGAATATTGGGAGCGATTTGCTGCATTTTGTTTTTTCTGGGCCTGCTGGCTAGTTTCTCAGCGTCCTGTGCTGGGTGGAGAAGACGGTTTCTGCACTTGCAGCTAATTCCTTAATTTCCACTCTGAAATGGAAGCACGACTTTGTTTGGTGCCATGATAGGAACCATCGTTACTTTGGGCCCCTTTTGTATTTCATGATTTGCTGGGGCTGCTTAATGGAATAAAGCCATTTATACACTGCCCTTGGTTTATTTATTGGTGTGTTATTGTGAGTGAATGCCAAGCGCAGTGTGCTTGGTGCCCTTTCTCCCTGCGGAGAAAGACTCAGTAGAACTTGTGCTCGACTGTTGCCTTCAATTCATTTTTTTTTTTTCTTTTGGAGTCCTTCAGTGCTCTGAAATCGCGACACAAATTTTCATTTCGTGAGGTGTTTATTAGAGAGTGCAGGAGCCGCATTGTATGCTGTTTCCTTGTGGATGGGTATTTTTTCTGTGCGATTATCCGTCTACAATGCCAAAGGCATGCTTCACCAGATTATTGTCCTTATGTGGCTGTTTCTGTTCTTGCTTGCCGTGGCCGATAGAGTGATGAAAGTTTAACCAGTGCGGCGAGGTTTCATGAAGGATTCATGACGAGAATGGATTTGTCACAGAGGAATGTTTTGTTTGGACAAGTTCAATTCGTATATGGCCAATTGCGATGAAGATTTAAAAAAAAAGGTCCATGCTGGAATGGACTTTTCATTACGGGCTTTATGACTGTATTGGTGGTGCGTGCTTCTGAGCTTGCTCTTAATACTCTGTTAAAGGATTATCGGGGCGCGGGTGTTTGTTTTGAACATCGGGGTGCATTTGTGAATGACGGTCTTTTATTGACGCGACACAAGGGCGCAGAGCAGGTGTCGGTGACATATAAAAGGGTTTTTAGGACTTTGTTTGAGCATTTTATTTGTGTGGGTGACAAAAAGAGGAGACAGAAATACATAGGCAAGGGGGCGGGGTTTCATCACGAAACAGACGGAACGGAAGGAATTTGTCAACGCATCGCGCTGCTTTTTTATTTTATTGTTTGTGGATTGGCTTTTTTTTCTGTGGAAGAGGGTGCGTGCGAGCGGCGACTGTGCACCAGTGTGGATGTGATGGTGGTGAGTGAAACGGCATTTCTTTCCGGGATCACGGGTGAAAACGTGCTTTTGCGGAGCTGTGGGCATGGATGACTGACGAGGGGAAACGGATGGAATGGGTTGGGGTGCACGCATTCGTAGGGAAAGACTGCCATGCGTTTTTTTGCGGGCGTTTATCCGTTGTTGTTTCCCTTTGATTAGAAGGGCGACAACGCTTTGCGACAACAACCTTCATTCATGAGAGGAATTATCTCCAATGGTGCTGTTGGGAACGTAATGCGGCCAGAAGAGAATAATCAAAAAGACCGTGAGTGCGGTGCGAGCACCCGAAGGGGAGACGACATGAACGGAGGTGGGTGGACGGCAGTATCGGAAGGTTTGACGGAAGAGGATAACTAAAATAAAGGGAGATGAAATGAGGTTGGCGGTGCTGCTTTGCGATGTGCGAGGGAAGAAGAAAAACAAGTGCTTTCTGACATGCAGGTGAGTGTGCCACGGCCACCGATGAGTTTTCAGGGAGAGGGAAAGGAGGGAGGGAGACGGATGCTGTGCGCACCCGCTGCGGCGTGTGTTGCCACAGGATGCGATTGGCATTGTGAAGGATGCAACGGCCTTCATGCGTGCAGCAGAGCGTCATCTGCATCTTTTTGCCTGCAGAGCCTGTAAGGGCTGCGAGGAGGTGCAGGCGACCTCTCATTATTGGGGCGCTGAGGCCTTTTTTCCCTCTCTGCTCAGCGGGAGAAGCAACTCTTCTCGCACGTGATGTGCTGGTCTGCATCGATGCTCCCAACGGGGTATCACGCCGCCGTGCCGTTGCAGTGCAACTCTCGTATCCCTCACTGCACACGTGGCTCCCTGTCGCCTGCCTTGTTTGCAGGACCGTGGCCTGCGGTCCTCCATTGGGAGGCTGCCCACTTTTTCCCCTAATTTTTGTATGCTGTTGAGGGGTGCTGTAGAATAATGGCTGCGGGGATGGTCATGCTGTGTTTCGGTGTGAGTGGTTCAGGTGTGTACTGCTGTTCTGTTGTCTTTCTGCCGCTGTTGCCTGTTGCTCCCCACGATGAAGTAAGTTAATAACAAGCGCGAATCGCTACTGTGAAATTCGAGGGCTCTGAAAGGATCAACAGCACACACACCGCCCACACACACATATTTATATACTCTCACGTGTTGCTGCTGTGAAGGCACCCCGCACACACAACCGTCGCCGCGTGACCGGATCCAGCGGAAGGAGGAGGGAAGGAAGAGAGAGTGAGCCGCAGAGGCCCAACATGTCCCGGCGTGTGTTTACTTTTGCGGTGCTGCTACCCGTCGTCGTGATGGTGTGCTGTGAAGTTGGAGGTGCACGCGCTGCGGAGGGTAATGTAAGGGATAAAGTTGTTGCGTTGATGGGGATTAAAAAGGAACAGCTTGACAACTGGGAGGATGTTTCTAACGCTGGTGGTAAATATGGCTTGCTTCTTGGTCCCAATCTTGTTGAGGTGCAGGGTCATGTATTTGCTATTGCTGAAGCCGATTGCAAGGATGGCGGCGACTGCAGCAACGTCAGCTTTACTGGGGTTGCGTCATGGTACCTTGATCTAAGTGGTGTCGCTGGTCCAACGGAGATCTCGACGGCGGGTGCGAGTAAGTTTGGCGCATATCCTCTAAAGGAAGGGTCTGAGGGCGTCAGCACCACAAACGGCATAACGCGACCAACGACACTTGTAATTGGGGACAGTGTCTAAATGCTCCTGGGAAACTACAGCCGTACAGAGCAGCAGATTCAAGGTAAGAATGAGCGAAGCTCTTTACTCGTGAAAGGAACTCTCTCTGAATATGATGGAAAGAAGAAAATCAGATGGAATGAGACGAATACAGTGAGCGTTAGAGCCCCAGGAGATTCTTACTTATTGGCCGGGTTGGTGGGTGGCGGAGAATCGGGCGCTGTGCGCATGACTCTTTATTGCGGTGTGACGTGGATAGCTGTGCTCTTGCGTGCGTTGTGCGGCGGGCTTTTCCTCTCCGTGCCTTTGCCCTTTTGTGTATGGGAAAGTTGTGGGAGGGGATGTGTGCGGGGGAGTGAGTGTGGGTGGCTGCCAGCACCGCCTCGCGCATTGGGGACTTCCATACAAGTGGCTTTGCTTGACGGCGTTGCGCGGCACCCAGGGCGTGACAAGGAGGAGGATGAGAAGGGTCTGTTGTGGGCAGAAGGTGGATGATAGGACAGTCCCCTTCCGTGTCCTTCACTGTGTCGTTGGCAGTACATACTGAGAGCATAAATTTGAGCGAGTACAGGAGGAAACGTTTATGCTGCTTTGCGTGTGCTACTCAATTGTCGTCATTGCACGCTGTCGTCACGGTGCGTTGTGGTGCGGTGCCGTTGGATGAGGGAAGGGTGCGATGCTACGGCTGCTGCGCACCACAACCATTTGTTGCCTCTGCACCGGAACTTTTTTTTTTTTTTGCACTCGCATAATATTTTATTTTGCTTCACGGTGGATTTGTTGGAGGAGGTTTGGTTTTGGTGCCTGCTTCACGGAGCTTCGCCTTGTGTGTCGGTTGCGGTTCTTCCACGTGATACTGAACTGTTTGATGAGGTGTTTACCCTTCTTTTTGCGCCCTGCAGTCAGTGTTTTTGGTCATGGCGGCAGCAGTGGGATTCTGTGGCTGCGTGCTCGTCGCACTTGTCGCATCTCCCGCTGTTGCTCCCTTTCTGTGTTGGTGGGGGAGTGAGCGAGCGACAGCGTTGGTGGAGTGGCGCCCCAGTGGGGGAGGGAAGGCACCGACAGCACGATTGACGTGGACCCTTGTCCCCCGTGTCTGAGTGCCGCCACCGCACTTCTTCATGCTTCCTTCTGTGTGTGCCGTTTGCGCTTATGGTGCCGCTGTTTGTTTTGCAATGCCGATCCACGTGAGCTAGGAAATACGTTTTGACTGCTGGCGAACGGCGAGTCTTCCACTCCTCTTCTGCGTCATCATTTCATCCTCGGACGCGCTTGATGGTCGCCGGTTGCAACGCTGCCACGTGTGTCTCGGCCCTTGTGTGTCGTCTACAGCCTCGGGACTGCTCTGTGGTAGAAACATTTGGTTACAGGAGCGGTGCCAATGGTCATGTGTCTTTTTGCTGGAATCTTGCCACTCTGCATGGTGGTTGTGTGAGGCTGCGCGGGCGGTGGGAGGGCGATGGTGTCACTGGCGTGATTGTGTCTGCGCTTCTTTTTGTCAGTGGTTGTGCTTTGGTGGGGACTGTCTGTGACCGGATGCCTCTGTCGGCCACTGTGTTTATTTGCTGTTGTTTCTGTCTTTTTTTTCTCTGATTGTGCAGTTAGAGATACTTTTGCTTTACCTGCACAACTATCGTTTCAAGGTATTAGGGATTAATTGCAGCAGTAGGATTAGTAGCAGTGGGATATCGATCTATCGGAATAGTGTCTCTTGATTTGCCATTTGTAGAAAGGGATTTGCTAAGCAGGGGGAATGGTCGACGGGGCGAGTGCGACACACCACGACAGCCTTATTGGTATTGTTTGGG